GTTTCAGCAGGACAGATGTCCATACAATAAAAGCCACTATCACAATGACATGTCTTCGGTTGTCTGAGGAAATAATCTATGTACCTACCGCGTGAAGCATGAACTTACTCTTACAGTTTGTCCCTGAAACTGTGAAGAGAGTATGAGCAAACCATATTGTTCTGGGCATGGTTTTTGACTCTATCACGATCACTAGGCTCAGAGTAGAATTATCCTGTAATGAAATTGATTTTGCACAATTGTTTCTTTTTAAAGACCTACTAAATCAGACCCCTCTTGGATACTTCCACCCTACAATTAGCACTAATGGGACTAGAGCACATAAATTGAATCATACTTTATCAAAACCAATGTATTACCTATTAACCTAGAATGATGCTACATTGAAAACCAGAGGTGTATTCCTTCACTGGGAGGAATGGAAATTTGTAGGCACTGTTGATTTTTGCTTCTGGCATGCTTAAGAACCTGAGAGTCAAGGAAATGGCTTTAGCTTGGGAAGCCACTGTTCTCCAAAATCTCTAACAATTTCAGATTATTTACATTTATCTAATTTCTCACAGTGATCCCGTCATTGATGTCATAGCCCCATTATGGTGTCAATATTGTTTTTTCCCCCAATATTAACCTCACTTTATTCTATTTCTAACCCACAGTAGTGTTAATTGTATTACTTGGATTCATTCTACTCCATCGCTTCTTATAGTGATTTCTTAAAGGTATACTTGACTGGTTTGGACTGGTCCTAAAAAAAATTGATTATTTAATATCACATACTTACTAGACTTTTGAATAGTTGCTCGGATGCAGTTTAACATGTAGCAGTATGGGAATAAGAAGAGTTTTTTGACACATGTTTATTAGTGGCAGTTTTGGTTTCATTCATCTGAAAAGAATCCAGTTTGCATGCTCTGAGACTGCACTCCAATGAGAAACAAAGTGCAGGTGATGGGGATAAGCTGGAAATTTTTTCAGAAGAGCACTGCTTACTCAAAGTAAAATATTAGCATATCCTACTTGCCACTAAAATATTTAAGCTGTTTTTATTTGCCAGTATCCACATATAGGTTGTTAGGGTTTCTATGCTATAAGAATACAGAATCTTAAAACAGTGCCTGGCTTCAAACTGTATTTGCAGCACTTTGTAATCACTTCACAGCCCTAAATTCTTCCTACTAGTGGTTTGAGGATGCAAATGATCATGAGAAGAGGCTCACCCTTAAAAGAATAAAACCCTCTTATCTTCTAGTTTTATAGGAACAGTATGACAGCACGGTAAAAACCATTCATATTAAGCATCTTAAAATATACTGACAAACAAAGTCATTTTTCCTAAAACATGGGAAGAATTACTGGCAGCATGGATACGTGACCATTAGGAAGCTACAGCACCTTAAGTGGTGCAGAGAACAGAACAGAGTTGCTGACCTGCTCTTTTCTTTTAAAAGGAGGATTTTTTTTGCTTAACCAGCCTACTACTCTTATTTATTTAGGGAGCAATTTTAGCTGCATATCATCCTTTAGGTAAAGGGCTCTAGTACAGATGCAGTTAAACTCATATAAACATCCTTTTGCTTGTACAGTTTATTTCTTTTTGGGAAACCCTATAAATCCTATTGCCAAGATGCTCTCAAAACTAGATAAGGGTTGTATTATTAAGATTTTGTTGCTATAGCTCTAATGTAAATCTGCCCTCTATCTGAGAACATAGACTATGGGAAATAATAAAAAACTACTTAATGTGTAGCCAAACTAAAATTAAACCTACAGAAAACCATGTGTACATAATTCTATTATTCCAATGCAGTTTCCTAATTTGAAGGTTTATGCAAACTAATCAGCTTGCTGTCAGATTGGTATTACAGTTAAGACTGTGTCAGTACTTCCATCATAACAAAATTTTGTGGTGTTTCTTGCCGAGATGGAAATGCCTGCCTTGCACTGAGAATTTTTATATGAGCCCTGTCAGCCTTCTGGAAATGAAAAATGAAGCTGTGCACAGGATTTAATAGAACTCACACTGTGTATTTTTTTTCAAATGTCATTTTTTTTAGTTATCTGCTGTATTCTGTCCACATCAAAGGTGATGAGCCTTATAGAGGGCAGCTCCAGACCTGCATTCTGTCTTATGAACCGACTACATTAAGCAGCAATGAAGTGCTAAAGGTATGAAAGCTTCTTTTTTGCAGCTTGGGTAAGCAAAAAGATAAATTGGAAGGGTTTTGAAGCAAGAAGGTATTATTATGGCATTATAAAGCCAGATATGCAGCAATACAGCCATGACAATTTATATCTTCAAAATATCTGGCCCATATGTCCTAACTTTATTACGGGTAATACCTCAGTTTCAAAGGAATTACACTTCTGGAAAATCTTGTGGTGGATCTCCAATTGCAACACAGATAGGGTAAAAAGGCACAGGCTAATTAAGTAGGCACTCAGAAAAAGGGTTGGGGCGAACCTATTTTTAATGGTTCTGAATTAGTTTTCTACTACATATAATTTCAAACTAGAAGGCAGTATTGAGGTTTATCTGGCAAAGTCCAGTTCCTGGCGCTTTGGCCTCAGCTTAAGCAAGGTGGTGTGCAAGGCACGGGGGTCACAGAAAAGTGAAGGATGTGTGAGAGGAATCCTCAGAGACTCTGCATGGAATACAGAGTTAATTAGTGAAATGTTTAATCAAGGAAACTTGCTGATTAACCATTTAAAAAAAACCTAACAACAACTCAGTTAGCATTACCAGGACTTTTTTGCCCTAAACGAGGCTCTGACAGTTTCTAGCTTGACCTCCTGTTTCCAGTGATTTATAAAAATGGGCTGAAACTGAGCAGATCAAAGTAGTGTCTAAGCTGCTTATCTTTAGTTTATAAAAAACTAAAGCTCCTGCCTTCTTTGGGCTTACAGGACAGTGCTTTCAATGTTGTTTTTTTTCTTTTCTAGGCAGATTTTTCTGCCACTTGTAATATTTAAAATGTAGTAAAATAATAATATTTAACTCATGAGCAGCATTTCTTGGTGCTGTCACATTGGATGAAAATATTTCCAACAGTGCCTCTGTTAAAATGACACAAGCATCTTGAAATGCCAGAATGGTAAAACACCTTTCGAGGAACAGATCCAACACAGACATCCTCTGAGCTGGATCAGATCCATTTTCATTTAAATTTGACCTAAATAGCTGAATGCTCAAAAAGAACATACTCTAGAGAGATTCCCACAAAATTAAATTGGAATAAGACAGGGTGGATTTTAAAACAAAACCTCTCTGATGGGAGAACACAAGCCTGCGCTGAACTGAATATAGGCTCAAGACAGTCTGAACCTCTGAGATGCCCCAGAGTGACTCCAACCTTCCTATAGCTCCAGTGCTGGTTGCCCTTCATCCCGTGACAGTCATACAGCGTGACGGGGCTGCTGTGCGAAATGGCGTCGAAGCAGAACTTTCTGGTGTGAAGTGGCTCCCCGGGGCGGATGTCTTCTCTCCAACCAAAGGTGAAGAGCTAGAAAAACAATCAGGCAATGCAATGATATATTACTAGCCAAAAAACATTTAAAACCACACACAAAGCTTAATGTATGTTTCCCTACTCGGCTGCTGTTTAAACGAGATCCTGCCTGTGTACATTTAAGTGATGACAATTGCCTTAATTAGAGTACATTGTTGGTGACGTGGAATATACACCAGGAAGGCACAATCCCTATGGCAGGGAAGGAAAAAATCTCTGGTGACACAGTTCTGCAGAGAGGAGAGGGGATACGCTGTACTAAAGCCTTTAGTTAAAGACGCACTCGTATGCACTAGGGCTACAGCTACCCGGGACTCAGAAAGCCTCTGCTAGTGACTTTTCTCTAGCTCTCATTTGGGTCTGAAGATGCTACCTAGAGAGATCTTCCCACCACAGCAGCTTTCCCATGTTTAATGAACAGTTTGCTTCTGTTTATGTGGGACACTGCTAGCATATCCTCTCTTGACTGTCTTTTTCCCCCCAAACAACACACATTAAATGATCTTCATCTTCCTGCTGTAAACCCCGTGAGCTACAGGCAGCTTGTTAAAGACCTTCTTCTCACCGCCTGAGAGGAATCGTGGAGGCTCACAGTTAATAGAGGAATCCTTCTCAATCAGACACCAGCTGTCTGAGATGATGCTGTGACACTGCCGTCTTTCAATCATCAGATGAAGGTGACAGGTCTGGCAGCAGCAAATTTAAAGATGCAGAGTGCATTTTCCTTTCTCATGGACTAATCCTTGCAAAAAGCAGGCTGCAGGTTGTAAATTGCTACCGGAAAACTCTGCTGAGAGCTGTGAGGGTTTTTTTTTTCCTTTTTTTTTTTGGTGCCAGTGCTATTTTTCGGCTTTCTGCATGACTTTTGATTTTCCATAGTATAAACCGAAATGTAACATTGAGAAAGTGAAGCTCTCTAAATGAGCAAACTTTGCTAGTGGAAACTGTTTATCTGTGACGGTTCATGTGGAACTGCACTCAGGCTTGTTCCCCAGAGGAGCAGCTCCCCATACTGTGCTCAGAATGCCTCCAGCTCCGCAGCTACCTCATCTCAGGGTCCTTCGGTCCTTATCTAGCACCCTGCTCCCTGCAATGTGTGCATTCCCTGATAGAATCAGTATCTACAAATCCAAACCAAGCTCAATGTCATGTGGGTCTGATCCTGAACACTTCTGTTGTGGGTCCCAGGTTTTAACCCTTTCATTGTGATAGCCATCTTCTTTCCATGGTCTTCCTAAAAGATACATCTTGTAAAAATGCTGCATCTTCAATCCTCCAAGTGCCACATTTGAGAAGCACTACAGTTTCCCTTGATTTGCAGGCACAAAATATAAGCATATACTGAATATTTTCGTGTTTTTGTTGTGTGTCTTATAGTAAGCCCTTGTTCTCCCTGTTAGCTGCTGTTGCTTCCTATTTACTTTTGTATTACAGGTTTTCTAGACCGCATTTTCTTAAGCTGTCCCTGTGTCCTGCTTATTTCTTTTTTCTCCCGGAGTGCATTTTACATTTATCTTGGGTAAAATGCAGTGGACAGCTTTAACTTCCATTTCAAAGCAATTTCTGCTTTTCAAAAGGTTAAGTCTTTTCTCACTTTTCTTCATGTTTCCTGCAAGCAGCATCGTGGACTCCCTACAAAGATAACTTATCATTTCACAAGCAAAGACAAAAGTAAGATTCGGTAGAGAAAAAAAGCTATGCTGCTGTTTCTTTAGAAAAAGAGAAGCCTGAGATAATTTTCCTTTGAGGAAAAACCAACAAAATCCATTTTCTTTCTCTTACCCTTTACCTTCCCACAGCCAAGTAATAAACATAGAGTTCAAAGTGATGAATAACAAATACCTAGAGGAATGGTGTGGAACAGTGGTTCTGCGATATTCTCGCTCTCATGACTACTACAAGGGAGAGATCCTCTTGCAAGACCTTCCTCATCTTTTCCAGTGGGTGCCTCTCCAAATTTCTCAGTCTGTGCATGATTGGTGA